TTCCTCTTTGTTACGTTCCCCTTGATCCTGCCCTACCAGGTCTCCCACACCCACCTCCCCACCAATTTGGATCGCCTGTTGTTTCCCTGTCCCTGGGTTTGCTAACAGCAGGTGAGTGTTTTAACCGTTGTATTATACCTACATAAATGTACATGTGAGGGCTCCTTAATGGAGGTTAAGATATTTGACAATGCCAGTCTTGAGGGAAATTGGGACGTTCAGAAACTATATAAGGGGTTGAAAATCAGTGCAAATATTTTGGAGGAATATTTGGCAGCATCTGAGCTGTTTGACTGAACTTCAGGCCGTCACCACAATCCAGAGAGCTGAAGTCCTGAAAGAACAAGGGATTAGAGGTCCAGGAAGTCTGTGGCCTCTCGTGTCTGCCACGTGAGTAAGACGTCACTGCCGGGCCTCAGTTCCCCTCCTCCTCAAGCTGGGGAGGGTGGCAGAATGAGAAAGGTCAGAGATGTGCAGCTCTAATCAACTGCCTGGTTACCATCATGACATCTGCATTTCTTAATTGTGTCACCTCAGGCAGCTTCTCTGAGCCTCAGTTTTCACACCTGCAAAATGGAAATAGACTTCCAGCAAGATGGTATACTAGATATGGATGATAATCCTAGAGCCATGAGCGTCAGAAGGAGGGATAGAGACGTGGACTGAATATTGACTGGGAAAAGAAGCGTAACTAAAATCAGCCAGAGAGAAGATGAATTCGTTGTTAACTGACCTGCCTCAGCATGACCATAATCAACTGTACTTACTCAGGACCAGCATAAGTACCCACACCAGGCGCTGATGATGACCTAGGAGACAGCTGGTGATGGGGACTAAGGTCAGCAGTTCAAAACCACCAGCTGCTCCTGAGGAGAAAGATGAGGCTTTCTAGTCTCATAAAGAGTTAGTCTTGGAAACTCACAGGGGCGGTTCTACCCTGTCCGACAGGGTCGCTATGGGTTGAAATTGACTCAGTGACAGTGAGGTTTGTTTTGTCCTGTTTTTTAAACAAAAGCGATTAGGAAAACTACAAGAAAACCTGAAAGCAAACAGCACAGAAAATTGTGTGAAATAAACACAAGAGAAGCACCACAAAAACACGCACAACAAATGTTAGTAATAAATTCATGCCTGTCAATAACTACACCAAACACAAATGGATTAGATATACCAGTCAAGATACAGAGTAGCAGAACGGATAGGAACGTAGGACCCATTAATATGCTGAGACACATTAGACAAAAAAGTGGAAAAAATAGATCAAGCTAATGGCAACTAAAAAGGATAGAAGTAGTGAAATTAATTTCTGATAGATTTTAAAGCAAAATCCAGAATAAGAGGTAAATAAAGGCATTATATGATTACAGAGCAAATTGAACAAGAAGACATTACCATAATAAATGCCTATGCAACCAGTGATAGAACCTCAAAATACATTAATGACATACAGAATTGAAAAGAGAAATAGACCACTCTACACTGATAGTGTAGGAAATTTTAATACCCCACTTTCAGGAAAACAATGCAATTTACAATAGCTACCCCAAATATGAAATATCTAAAAATAAATACAACCAGAGAAATAAACGATCCATACAAAGAAATACAAAACACTACTACAAAAAGACAAAAGAGACCTACATAAACAATAGAAGATATCATACTCATAAATAGGAAGAATTAACACTGTGAAAATGTCAACACTACTCAAAGCAATCTACAAATATTATACAATCCTGTCCGGATTCCAGCATCATTCTTCACAGAGATGTAAAAACGAATCACCAACTTCATATAGAAAAGAAAAAAATTTTTTTTTATTTAAATTAAAAAAGAAAGGAAAGAGACCCAGGATTAGCAAAAAAAAGGTGACTTATCACTTCCCAATCTAAAAACCTACTACACAACCATAGTGGCTCAAAACAGCCTGGAGCTGGAACAACAGATATAGGCCAATGGACATAGACCTACAGAGAGTTGATGTTTGACAAAGGGCTGAATCATTAAATGAGGGAGTCTCTTTAACAAATGGTACTGACAAAACTGGAAATCCATTTGCAAAAGAATTAAACAGGACCTATTTTTCATATCATATTTTAAAAATGAACTCAAGATAATTCAAGGCTTAGATGTTAAACCTAGAACTATAAAGATCACCAACGGAAAAAATAGGGACAAACTTAGGGACACTAATACATGGAATGATAAACTACCAAACATAATGAAAAGCATACAAATAGCGGAATACAAAATAGAGGGCCAAGACCTCCTACAAATTATGCAGAAGAAGAGCAGCAGGGGAGCAAAGCAGCAAAGTCCCTGAGGAGTGCCAAAGGTGGACTGTGGGGCCAGAGCGTGGCATCCAGCAGACTGGACTGGAAAACACTCATGAAGGTCAATGGACAGACCTGGAACTGTTGGAGGGCTTTTCTTTTTTGCTGTTGTTATTGTTCTTTTATTGTTGTTTTGTTTTTTGTTTTCTTGTGTTGTTATGTTTTGCTCTGCTTTGGTTTTTACGCATATTCTTGTCTCTGCATGCCTATCTGGACAAGATAGGCAGGATAAACACTCTGGAGGATGT